AAATCAGACAAAATCTTGGTCTAGACTATGAAGCAAACCTCTCCAGAGTCCTGTGCATGGTGATGCCACCTGCATTTGTCTGGAGATTCTGCCCCTCTGGCCTGGCAGTGCTGAATTCAGTGCTTGCTTCTGATCACTGGTGGCTTCTGGGACACAAATCCTGACACAGAACTGCTGCAGCTTTTAAAAAACCACTTCTCCCACTGACACACACTTTGGACATACCAACAATCAGGTAGGGCAGCTGATTTGTCTTTTCCAAATAGCAATTTCCCTATTAGATCAGGAGTTAGTTCAACATAGTTGCACATAAAATTAGCCAGTACATGGCTCTAAGAATGTAGATATCTGGTGAAATATTGGGGGTTTTACTGCTCAAGTGCTTGTAACAGCTCCATGTCCAACAGGTTCTGTGATATAGCTGGGACAGTGACAGAAATCCAAACCCTGACTCAATCTAGTGTTTAACCCCGTGTAAATTCCAAAACACAGCCCAAGAATGTGCTGAGTCACAGGGTTTAAACAAACAAACAAACAAACAAACCACCCACCAGTGCTTAATAGGGAAATGAGTGTTTGCATGTCCAGCTGAATTTGGACCATCACTCATATTTCTGATTTCCACTTAAATCTCCTCTCCTAGCTGGGTCTGGGCTGCACCAGCTCGCACAGAAAATAAGTCCTGCATGATTCATCGTGCTACAGGGGAGGGAAAAACATGTTAGGAGGAACATTTAGTGCCAGTGTAACTCAACTGAGTAACAAATTCAGAACAAGCAGTTACAATTAGCAGATACTGTTGTTGCCAAGATCGTATCATTTCCTAAACCAGATTTAATTAAAAGAGCAGTTCAGCTGCCTGGTACCCAGCTTCTGTGACTTCAAAGCCTTTTCCCTGGATCTCCATGCTAGGAACAGGAGAGGAACATCACCCAGTGCCCATCACCCAGAGGAACCACCTTGTGCAGCCCTCACCAATGCATTGCATCTCTTTTGAAGCTTCTAATTGCTGCTCTGGCACAGCAACACCTCCTGGTCTTGTAGGAACCTGAAAGAAACCCACAGTGCTGCTTTTGGGGGGAAATCAGGAATATATCCTGCCCTGCTACCCAGCCTGTGGGAGTCCTGTGAGAACAAAACACAGGATCCTCCCACCTGGTCTGAGCTGGACCCAAAACACAGAGTGGTTTTTGATCAAGGGCAAAATGTAAATTTTCTGTGATGTTGAAATCCCACCGAGGTGTTCAGACCTTTGCTGTGGCCCAATCCATTTCCTCAGGGGTTCTGCAGACACCTCCAGGTTTCTCTGCAGCCCTGGTACCTCCCAGCTCTCCTCCAGCTCTTTCTCCTCTCTGACTCTCACCAGTTCCTCTGGTATAGAAGCACTACAAAAGATGGACATGTTATCTCAGTAATCAACTTCCTTTAATTTCACAGGTTCTCTATTTTATTATTTCAGCCTACTATTAGAACTCCTGAAATTTGCTTTTCACCTGTCTTTTCATCCAGCCACTAGCATTCATAACATAAAGTTACCAGGTTGATTAAGACACAAATTCATGGAAGAGTATTTTATTTTAGCAGCAAATTGCAAAAGAATTCAGGGAGTAGACTGCATATGCCATGCATTAATTATAGCAGAACTATTTAAAACTTGCAGTGGTCAACAATTTTATTTCAAACACACCCAAACACTGTTGTGCAGTTATTTTGATCAATTAAGCACATCTGCTGACAGAAATTACACTCAGCATGTCCCTTCTGTTTTTTTTTTTCACTATGAAAGGTTTTCTCCTTCTTTTTTTGGTTCAGAAAATTATTTTAACACATTGCAGTAACCTATAAATAATGATGAAAACCTAAAAGGTCAAAGAGAGGAAAAAGTACAGCACATTCCCAGTTTTTACTTCTACAAGTAATAAATTATTAGCCACATGTTGAAGTTAAAACTGATAAAGGGCTGATATAAAAGTCACATTTCCTAAATGCAATCCATTTTCTGCATGGTAAAATGAAGATATTCCAGCACAGTTTACTGAAAGTGTTGAATTCCTTCTGGTGAACTTTTTGTTTTGGTAGCAATGGGGCTTTCCTCCCTTCCCTGAGTCCCAACCATGGCACAACACCCAGAAAAGCCCTGAGGAACAGGCTGCAGATCTGCTGGGCAGGCTCCAGTTCTTAATTTGCAACATTAGGATGAAACTTAATGTTCAGGGCTACTCTGGTTTGTTCCTGGATGATTAAAATGATGCTCACAAGAAAAAGATGAAGAGAAAGAACCAAGGTGTTTCCCCTCCTCCTGTGCTCATGTCTTTATCATTTCCCTTGTGATAGAAGGCAGCTCTTAAAAACTTATTTTCCCCAAAGTTTTCTGTTTCTGCAATTCCCTTATGCCAGGGAAATGCTCACAGAGAGAAGAGCCTAACCCAAAGCTCCTGCACTGTAATAACTGCAATCAGAAGAGCATCCCAGGAACTCACACAAAAACCCAAGCCTGGATTATCAGCACTAAAGATCATTTTAGCAGATTATTCCAGCAGAATCAGCAAGAGGGATAAAAATACAACTTGGATTTCATTATTTTCATACTCAATTCCTGCCATAAATACAGCAGCTGTAAAAATCTAGCACATATCTAAAAGGGAAGGGCTGTAGAAGACCTTTCAGGTATTTCTCCTCTGAAAGTTACAGCCTGTTATACCATTAATAATAAAATGTAATCATCCTGAAACAACACTTCAGATTTTAATGAAAAGCTCTACTGGTTCATACCTGGCAAATTTTGTTTTAAAAAGTCATTTAAGGCTTAATATACTAGCATAGAACTCCAGACATGCATATAATTAAGCCATAATGTCTTCCAAAATTTCTTTCTTTCCAGTTCTAATGTTCTGCCAGTCAGACGAGCCAACAGGTTTTGTTTCAACTTCTTCAAAGTAATTCCATCAGCTTTCAAGAGGCTGTTCTTAGGAAGAACAAATGGACCAATACAGAATTCTCCTGCTGCCTGAAGGTCGAGCAGATGAGGAACAATGAATGTTGAACTTGAGGGCAGTGAAGCCCCTGTGAGAATCCAAGGATGTTTCGCTTTATTTCAGACAAATTGCAGGAGCATTTGCTGATGTTCCACCATTTGGTTTAATTCTGCATCCCGGCCCACACCCCTCCCCAGACAGACAGGACAGAATGAATTCTTCCCTGGTGCCTCTTCCCATGGCTTCTCTTGTTTTCACCTGCCCACAGCAGGAATTGTTCTTTTGCTCTACAAAATTAAAGAAATTTCTCATTAAAATTCATCACCTTAAAGGTACAGTGTGAGAAATGCTAAAGATGATTGGGTTGTACTAATGAATAATGAATATTAATAAAACAAAGAAAGTGCTTTAATGTTCTTCAACCAACAGCTCTTGTACTGCCCTTTAAGTGTGTTGCACCCTCATTTAAGAAAATAGACACTAAAATTTTCTAATTAAAATTTCATTTGCAAATCCCTGGTTTTGAACTATCTTCACCAGAGCAACAAAGCAGGGAACAACCCTAAATTTATGTCTCGAGGATCCGATTTTCCAAATAATTTCTGTTCTTATTAGTCTGATGTTTTACTTTCACCTGACTGCCACGAAGTTTTCTGAGCTCTCTTTTTCCACACCAAATTAAGTCAGAGCTCTTCTACCTCTGAGACACTCTTGTACGAGGATTTCACAGAAATCAGGTCAGCTCAAAGAC